CAGCAGGGGCAGTCCTTCGGCAGCTGCAGGCACTGAGCTGTAGCTCCAACGCTCTCCCTTTGAAGAACCTGCAGGAGAGCACCAACTGCTGCTACAAGTACCTGAACACAGTGCTCCAGAGAGATCACTCCAGCTGGGATGAGGTGGCTTCTGCAGTGGCCCAGGGAGAGCCCTTCATCTTGGTGGGCTCCCACTTCGTGCCGGTCACGGCTGTGGCCGAGATGCTGTCATTTGTGGCTGTCCCATATCTTCACCAGCTCCCACAGCAGTACCGGCTCTACAGCCAGCTCTGGAAGTGCGTGGGGCTGCGCCACACGTTCTCCTGGGATGATTACGCCAAAGCGCTCCGCAGCCTGGCAGAGACGCATGCTGGAGAGCCGCTGCCAGACACGGAGCTGGATCTGGCCGTGCGGGTAGTGTCTTGTGGCTTGATGGGTGATGACAAAGAGCCAGATGCCTACCAGACCCAGCAACTCTTTCTACCTGACCAGGAGGGCATTTTGCGTCCCCGGGACAAGCTCCACTTCAACGACACACCATGGATGCCAGTGGACAGAGATGTCCTGCTGTGCCACGAGCAGCTGTCCCGAGCTGCAGCCCTGCATTGTGGGGTGCCTACCACACGCCACCGGGTACTGGAAAAGAGCCGACTGTTCACTGGAGACCTGAGCCTCTGGATGCAGCCATTTGGTGCCTGTGAAGACTTGCCTACACGGCTGAAGAACATCTTGTATGAGTACCCATCATGCGCTCATGATATAGTGAGGGAGTTGCTCCAGAACGCGGATGATGCTGGTGCGAGCCTTGTGCACTTCGTGTGGGACCACCGGCAGCACCCAGTGAAGGCCACTTTCAGTGAGAAATGGAACACCCTGCAGGGCCCCGCCCTCTGCATCTACAATGACAGCCCCTTCCAGCAGCGGGACATTGAAGGCATTCAGCGTCTAGGGGTTGGTGGCAAGCAAGGCCGGCAGGATGTCGCAGGCAAGTACGGCCTTGGCTTCAACACTGTCTTCCACTTCACTGACTGCCCAGCCTTCCTCACTGGGGACAGTGCCCTGTGTGTCTTTGATCCCCATCTCTACTATCTGCCCATGGCCACGAGTGAGAGTCCTGGTGGGATGTTTGCTGTCAACTCTGAATTCAAGAAGACCTTTCCAGATGTTTATGGCACCTTCCTACCTTCCTTCTTCAACCTGAACGAGGGTGTCCTCTTCCGTCTGCCTCTCCGCACTCCAGCTGGGGCTACAATTTCCAAGGTGTCTGGCATGGTTGTGAGGGACCAAGACCTCATGGACATGAAGAGAGTACTGGCTAAGGAAGGCGAGGAATTGGTGCTCTTCCTCCGGCACCTGCGCACTGTGATCTTCTCCGAGATCCCCCCAGATGGAGAACAGTTGTTGGAGAAGCTGCGGGTGGCTACAAAGCTGACAGACGATGATGCAGAGCTGAGACGGGCTTTTCAAGCAAGATTGAGCCAAGATGTGAATAACAGCAGCCCCACCTCTGTCTCCTACATCATGAAAGTCGAAAACAGCATGGCCAGGGCCAGCACTGTGTGGAGGGTGATCTCCCAAATTGGGGTGCAGGAGAGCGTTGAGGAGTCTCCGGTGCCTGGGCGGTTGCCCCACGGGGCTGTGGCTGCCTGCCTGAAGCCATTGAGCTTGGAAAACGTCACAGGTAGAGCTTTCTGTACCCTCCCGCTGCCGCTGACCACAGGGCTGCCTGTGCACATCAACGCCAACTTCTCTGTGGATGTGGCCAGACGCAATCTCTGCCAGGACCCAGGTAGCACAGAGGCAGCCTGGAATAAATTCTTGCTCCAGCACTTGGTGACTCCACTGTACTGTGCCTTTCTCAACAGGCAGTGGAAAGCTCTGAAGCCCGAAGGGCTCCAGTTCAAGTCCCTGGAGGTCTGCCAGGATCACCTGGTCTTCCACTACCTCCAGTTCTTCCCTGCCGTGACAAAGGCGCTACCTGCCTTTCAGGACCTGGTGAGGGATGTCTACAGGCACCTCAGCCATGCACGCCTGCCCCTGGTGCCTGTGTATCACATGAAGCCACCTAAACGCATGGTGACAATGACCTGGGCATCTCCAGGTGGTGGAGATGTGCTAACAGAGCCGTACTTCCTCAGGGAGATGCCTCACCAAGCTCTTCAGGAGGTGCTGCAGCGTCTGAACATGAACCTGGTGCCAGCATTCGTCCACTTGCGGCAGATCTATGAGAATTTCCGTGAAGCCCGTGTAGATGCTGTTGCTTTGGATCCAGCCTCTCTCCGGCGCTTCCTCAAGGCCCTGGCACTCCCCGTGCCCTGCACGCTGGCTGAGACACCCCTGGGGACCACAGCAAGATGCTCCATCCTGCTGTTGCACTGCCTGGGGAAGTCAGATGAGGACAAGGCAGAACTGGAAGGCCTGCCCTTGCTGGCCACGCAAGATGGCCGCCTGAACGCTCTCAGCATCCACCACCCAGTCTTCCACAACTCCTTTGCCCATCTCTTCCCCAACCACCGCCACCGCTTTGCCGACAAGTCCATTTCTGACTTGCTTCCATCTTGCTTTGTGAAGAAGCTTGGCTTCCCAGAGGCCACACCACTCATCCAGGAGGCATTGGCTCAGCTGCAATGGAACACAGAGGGAGAGAACTGGCTCAAGATGCTGTGGAAGTTCTTTGGCACTGTGGTCTGCACAGCAGAGAACTCCAAAGATGAATTGGATTCATTCATGAATCATCTCCAGGATGTGGTGGTGCTGCCCGTTGAGCAGGATGGGACAGACTCAAAGCCTCTACTGCCGCTCTCCTCCCTCCGCAATGTTCTTTTTGAGCGTGGCACAGATGTGGCCAAGGTGCTGCGCAAACTGGGCATCCCTGTGCTCCGGCTGTCCCTGCTGCCTCGTGATTTTGCCCAGGACTGCCTGAAGGCAAGGGCACTGCAGGCCACAGAGCCCAGGGCTGTGCTGGCCCAGCTGGTGAACGCCAGAGATGATCTGCGCTGGAAGGACCTAAACGAATGGGATGTGATTCCCCTGCTGCGCTTTTTTATTCAGGGAAATCTGGATTTGTCAGCACTGCAGCAACTCTGGCTCCTGCCTCTCTTCCAGAAGTATGATGGGAGCTACGTAGCTGTGGCACCCTACCAGAAGGTGCTGTTGCTCAAAAGCCGGTTCCACGAACCGCCCCCGGGTGCCCAAGTCCTGTACAAGCTGGAGAAGAAAATGTTGCTGCTCACAGCAGACCCGATCCACCAGCAGCTGGCCAAGGATATGCGGTGGGAGGTCATAGATGACCATAAGCTCTTCAAGACTGTGATGCTGCCCCGGCTGTCCCAGCTTACAGCGCGAGAGCTTATGGAAGCTCTGCGCTTGTTCTTTGCCCTGCAACGCTTCCGTGACTTTAAGTTCGAGAAAGCTGTTGTGGAAGCTTTTCAGACTGTGGCCTTTATACCTGATGCCCATGGTGTGCTGCACCAAGCCTCCTACTTCTACAGCAACGTGCCCTCCTTCTGCACTCTGCGGCTCCAACACCGCTTTGTGCCCAAGTCGTTCTTCGTGCAGCTGCGTTGCAACCGGGAAGATGTAGAGCATTTCCTGTGTCAGGCAGGGGTCCGCACCAGTCTCTCTGTGGAGGATTTTGTGGAACTGGCGCTGCAGATAGAGCGTGAAGCCACTCAGGTTACGTGCCACGATGAAGACCTGCTGGCACGACAGCAGGAGATGCTCAAGAAGCTTGGCGATGTGTTGGATGATGCCTCATCAGAGGGTCTCCTGGAGCAAATTGCCTCAATCCACTTTCTGCCTCCACTGGACATCCCCTCAGACTTGACGAACCTCCACCCCCCTTTTGCAGCCTCCACTAAGCCTGTGGCTCTGAAGGGCAGCGTTTACCACTGCCAAGACGATGTGGCAGAGCTCCTGTGGACATCAGCCACCATCCTGCCAAAGTCCTCTGCACTCAAGAAGAAATGCCTACAGGCCACGGGGGTCCTTTTGGAGATACCCACCGCCCTGGTGGTGACCAACCTGGAGCAGGTGTGCAGGGCAGCCTGCCAGACACCACAGCAGGTAAGCACACGGGCCAGCGTGCTCCAGAAGGTGTACAGCTTCTTGCAGATCCATCTGAAGGAGGTGAATGCAGAGAGCCTAGCTGAGCTGCCCGTGGTGCTGGCCAAGTCAGGGGACATGGCCGTGCCATCGCGAGTGGTGACATCCCTCCCGGACGAGACTGACTTTTACCCCTATCTCCTCACGACTGACCCCCACGTGGCTGTCTATGGAGACCTCCTGAAACACCTTGGGGTGGCCCTGTTCCCCACACTGACTCACTACAGTCATGTCCTGGCCCAAATCCACCAGGAGAGCCACGTCAGTGGCACCCTCAACACTACCCAGAAGAAGATAGCCCTGCTGGCCACGCGGCACTTCTTCCAGCTGCTGCGAGACACGCCAGAGTGCCCCGATTCCTCCTCTGTGGACAAGCTGTACTTGCTGAGCACAGCTGACTGCCTGGAGCCATCCCACACGCTATACTTCAATGACTGCATCTCCTCCAATACTTCCAGGGCCTTGGGGAAGACCTTTGTGTTCATGGCCGAATTGCCGGGGACCGGGTGCAATGCCTGGTGGCTGCTGGAAAAGCTACCATTGCACCTGCGGCCACGGGCCCTCCGTTGGCGCTGGCGGCAACGGGCACTCTCAGAGGTGACAGAGCAGCAGCTGGAGGAGGGCAGTCTGCGGCTGTGTCGCTATGGCTCTCAGTGCCAGGGGCAGAGGCATTTGCAGACTCTCCTGGTATCGCCATGGTTTAGGATGGGGCTGGAGTCCCTGCTGCGGTGGCAGAGCCACAGGGCCACGAGCAGAAGGGAGTGGGATGGTGATTTTGCGGTGGAGCAGCTGAAAGTGCAGTGCTGCGAGGACATCCGCACCGTGCTGGTCCACCGTGGTGCTAAGGTGGAGGGCAGCTCTGAGTCACGGGGGGTCCACGTGTGCCAGGCTGGTGGTGCCCAGCGGCTCCTCTACATCCGGCACACAGAGATGGTGCTGGACCGGCACCAGCTGAGGATCCTGGAGACGCTAGCGCAGGAGATCAACATCATCCTGGGTGGGCAGCTGGAGGCACCCGCCTTGTCAGTGCTGCGTGAAATGCTGGTCTGCCAGAAGCCACAGGACGTGGTCCTTGTTCTGGAGGAGAATGACGTGGCACTGGTAGGTGCTGCACCAGAGCCAGAGGAGCCTGTGAGCACTACCAAGCACCACGGCTGGGGACGAGAAGACCATGGCTCCCGGTTGTGTAATAAGAAGGACGTAGCACCGACTCCGGACGTCCCAGAGGCCCAGCGGTGGCTGCGGCAGGCCAAAAGTGACCTGCAGGCAGCCCACAATGACATCAGGCGCGGCTGCCCCGACTGGGTCCTCTTCAAGCTGCACCAGGCTGTGGAGAAGGCGCTGGTGGCTGGCGGACTTTGCCATGGCAAGGACTTTGAGACTCCAGTGAAGCTGGTGAGGCTGGCCAAGTGGTTGGAGGCACAGGAACCAGAGCTGAAAGGCCTGGCAGAGAAGGTGAAGTGGCTGCGTGGCTGTGGCATGGATGGCAAGGCCACACAGTACCCGAGTTGCCACCCCTTCCCCATCATCCCCAACGAGGCCTGCAACAATGTGGATGAGGAGAAGGTTCTGAAGCGGGTACAAGAAGTGGTAGAGAGGCTGCAGGACAATGTGGGCAGAAAGTGGGGGTTAAGGCACTGGCAGCTGGGCCACAGGAACGCCACGGATCCACCAGAGACTCACCACAGAGCTCTTGTGAACTCGCTGTGGACTTGCCACAGACCTGCCCCAGGTGATTGCAGGCTGTCCAGCCCTGGCAGGGGGGCTTTGGGGGCACGAGGTCACTGAAAGTCGTTCGGTAGCACACACCACTGTCATGCCTTGCGGGGGAAATAAAGTCCAATAGTAAATGTTGCAGTGCCAGTAGACCCTTGCCTAACGGTGTGCTCAGGGGACGTGGAGAGGTCACGGGCGACTGGAGGCGTGTAGAAAGTGGAGGTGGCAATGAAGGGCCGTAGAGGACTATGGTGGGTCGACCTTGGCTTGCCAGTCCCAGGAGTTCTCCAGCTGCTGTGGAGATAGAAGAGAACAGCTGTCTGCTTTGCCTGGTCTCTCTGAGACCCTTCGGTTGTGGGGTTGCTGAGGGTTGAAAAACAGGAGGTATTCCCTGCCATGGGAGACAGTCCTGAACTATCTTCTCCAATGTGGGTCCTTCCCACGGGCTGCAGTTCTTCATGATCTGCTGCAGCACGGGTCCTTTCCATGGGGCACGGTCCTTACAGAACAGACTGCTCCAGAGTGGGTCCCTTGTGGGGCCACAGACCGTGCCAAAGGATCTGCTCCTGTGTGGACTCCTCCCCATAGGATGCAGACCCTGCTCCCCTGTGGGCTCCTCCTGGCCGCAACGCCCTGCAGGGCATCTCCACCTGCTGTGGGCTCCTCCGAGGGCTGCAGTCTCCATGTCTGTCCTACCATGGGCCTCCTTGGGCTACAGGGCAACAGCCTGCCTCACTGTACTCTTCACCACGGGCTGCAGGGGAATCTCTCTTTGGCACCTGGAGCATCTTCTCCCCCTTCTTCTTCACATGTTCCTCTCACATGTCTCCCTCCTCTCGCAGCTGCTGTTGCGCAGCAGTTTTTACCCGTATTTTAATATGCTCTCACAGAGGGGCTACCAGCAATGCTGATTGGCTCAGCTTTGCCCAGCAGCAGGTCCACCTTGAAGCTGGCCACAACTCTCTCTGGTGAACTCTCCCCTTATTCGAATAAAGTTCAGACTCCTCTGTCTTCTTTGCGAACACTGACCTCTGGCACCAGGATTTTCCATACAGGTCAACGCAAATAAGGAAGTCGGTAACAGGAGTGATTTTAGCGATACTGAAAATTATAGGTGTGTTTGCCTCCTGGCAATGCTGTGTTAAATGTCTCAGCTGGTTTAGACTCATAGAATGGCCTAACCTGGAAGGGACCTTAGAGATCATTTTAATCCAGCCTCCCTGGTGCCAGGGAAGCCTCCTCTCAACTAGATCAGGCAACACATGGGGACTGAGTGGGAATTGAACCCGTTGTTAGCGCCACGCTCAGCTGACCGAGCTAACCAGAAGCCTGGGTCATGAAGTAAGGGAGTGAGTTAGAATTCACCAAGTGCCAAAGCGGGGAAACGTTGCCGTAAGGGTGGCAGAGGAGCTCTTCCTGCCTTCAGAGCGGTCACCAATCTGTCAGAGAACCCCCTGCAAGGCCGGCAAGAGGAGGTGAGGTGGGGACTGGAGCGCCCCTCGCATTCTCAGGGGCAGTGAGCCAGGCGGAGAGAGGGTGTTGGGGGCAGCCCGGGAAGCCCGAGCGTGGGACCTGCGGCTGCAAGGCTGTGTCCGTCCGTGCGAGTCTCGGAGCTCGGACTTTGCCGGCTTGGGAAAAGGCCCCCGGCCCCCGCGCAGGTGGCAAATGCTGATGGGTGCCGCC